AAGGTCTTTTCTAGCTCTTTCCTTGAAAATCTAAGCAGATGAAGGAAGTTTTTACATCATCACTAGAACTAGAAGCTGTAGCAGACATCTTCTAATCGTGCCCAGCATCCGTTTTCCCTCCCCTGTGAACAGCACCCTTATTCTCCTTGGGGGACCACCTCCTCGCCTGTGCTCTTCACGGAACTTGGGTAGGCCTCATGCTACTTTCTGGCTCCAGGGGTGGCCTTGTGACCTAGTTCTGTCCAGTCAAGGTACTGTGCATCTTTCTGGCCATCGGAGTTCCGAAGTGGACACGCGACCCAGGCTGAGTCAATAAGCTGCCGAGTATCGCATCAAACATCAGTTGTAGGTCTTCCTGGATGTACTGGGAGGAAATGATCTCTTTCTAAAGAGTCATTGGGTTAGAGCTGTTGATGGCTCTCTTACCACCATATAGGGGAGCCCCCTGGGAATGGTGCCTATGAAGAAAATAACAAAGCGGAGAGGTGGAGAAAGATAGATTTCTAATGGCCTGTCTGGAGGAGCTGGTTCCAGCTTTGCCTGAAGTCAGATGTGCCTATGGATTTTATATAAGCTGACAAAATTTCTTTCTTTTCCTTGGGCCAGTTTGAATTAGGTTTCTGTTCTTTGCAATTTAAGAGTCACTGACTAATCCAGAATTATTTATCAATGCCCTTAGTTTTTATCAGATGACTTTAAGTACCAGAGAAGGAAAATACAGACAAGTCTCAATTCTTATATTGGACCACTGGATAGCAGGAGCTCTTTTCTCTTATCCCTCAGGTTTAGAAAATCACCTTCTGATGGTTTTCTCACTCCTGTGGCTATTACACAATCCATCTTAAATCTCTTTCTTAAGATGGCTAGCATGATCTCAGCATCGTGTTCTCCCTTTCCTCTGATGGCAGAACTCACCAGATGTGTCTTTCATTGTCCAGACAGCTTTATCAGGCACAATTGCTGAATTCGTTCCTGGACCATCTTCATAACAGGGTGAAAAAATCTTCTAGAATGTTTGCATTTACTCATCCAACTATCTCCTTTGTTCTGACCATCACCTACCTGAACCCAACCCCTTTGCCGGAAAGATACAGTACAATGTCTCTCATGACACTGGAAACCAGCGTACCTCCTTCCCAGTCACGTATTTACAAACCCCTTTTATAGATAAACACTATTCTAATTTAGCCAGAAAGTTAAAAGAGGAGGGGAGTATGAGATATGCCATGTAGCTCTCGAAAAAAGACAATAATAAAGGTGGTAAAATTTTTAGAAAACTCCAGAGTCATCTCATTTCCGAAATTACTTATAAGATATTCATGCTGCTGTTAAATAAGCAGATAATCTTTATCTGCTAATAAAAAAACCCCAGCCTGTTGCCAGAGGACTGTGACAGTCTTAACAAGTTTTACAGAAACAAAATACCAGCAGATAACAGGTATTATGTTTTCTTTTGGCAAATATTAACGCTTCGCAGCTAGAAGATCTTGCTTACTTAATTAGGACTATAAAAACCCGCCAGGCCGTTCCCTTGCAGCCATGGAAATTCTGTCAACTTGCTCTTTACAGCTTTTCAGAGCCTAGATGGGAAAACAGCTACAAACCAGACAGGCTGAAAAGATTTTTAAGGTCTCATGTCCGCATGTACAAACCTCACAGTCTGTGTGTGTTCATTTATTTTAACACAAATGAAGTGAATATACCAGGAGCTCCTTTGGGAAAAAGAAAAACACCAAATTTGAGAGAAAAAGAACAAAATATGTCAGCTGAGGCAACCCCCCAAACGGTCTTCATAGCTTTCCCAGTACCCCTCAGTGCCACCCTGCCTCCAACAGAATTCTCTGCTCTCTCTGAGCTCATTTCGAAGCTAGCACCTCTCCTCACTACAGCATTTCTCACAGACATTCTTGTCCTTTTTTTTTTTTTTTGGCTTAGATATCTGTATTCCTGGCTAGACTGTGAGTTCCTCCAAGGTAGAGATAATATTATATCCTTGTTACCAGCACCTGGCCTACTCTAAGACCGAGCACATATTTGTTAAAGTTGAATAGGAGACACAGAGAAAAGAGAACAATGTGAGAGCAAGTGAGAACCCAAGAAAGAAAGAAGTCTTTAGCTCCGAGCCATGGGGCAGGTGGGGCACTGGTAGAGAACTGCCCTCAAGATGGCCTGAAAAGTTCTAGAAAGTCTAAGGCGGGCCAAAGAAAGGATAGTAGTCCCATTGACAAAAATATATTTTCTCTTAAAAAATAATCATAGATTGTAATAATCTTTCAAGTGATTGCTTTCATCATTTTGGCCTTGAAGACTTGTGAGCATTCTTACGTTCTTTCTGGCCTAATTTAAAACCAGTTAAAAGGGAGTTATTAAGTAACTTGTCTTCCTAATTTCCTTCTCGATAATTCCAAAGTTCCACAGGGGAGCGTGCCTCCAGGGAACACTTGTCAGGCCTCTCAAGCTCAGGTACTGGACTTGGGGAGTTCCGAGTCCATGAGAGTATTTTTTGATGATGCTGGTCCATGTAACGATGTGGCCAGAGAAGAGGAGCTACTTTGGTGCTTACTGAAGTGATAGGAACCAATGCCGTATTTTTAGAATTGTGGCCCAGAAACCTTGAGGACCCCCCAGAGAAGCAACTGTGGGCCCTCTCTTGGGCTCCCTCGCTCCTCTCATCAAGCAGGTTTTAACAAGTGCCCTCAGCGATGCCGAAGACCAGCCTGATCCAGGAGCCAGAGTCTCATAAAAGCTGCCTTGTTGGGTCTGGCTGACTGACAGGAATGAAATGTTAACTTTCTCAACTTGCTTTCCTAGAGCTTTCCAAAAGCAGCAAAACAATGGTGCAATTTCTCAGGCTGACGCCGGACAAAAGATACGAGTGTTTTCCCTTGGCTTGGGGAGAGGACGGGAAAGGATGCTGAGATTCTAATCCCTGTTTGGAGCATCTCAGCCATCACACAGAGCTCCTCTTTTATGGCGGTACATTTCCCAAGCATCCCTCTGGGAAGCCTTAGTTCCCAACTGTCTGGGAAACGTAAAATCAGTCACTTTTGGCAAAGCTCATCACACCCGACCATGGGAAACACAAATTAAAACAGAGATACTTCTTTGCTCACTAGGTCGTCTGGTTACACATTTGCTTGACATGAAAATCAAATCATTAAGATGGGGGGACCTGAGTGTATAGTTATGTAGCTCAGGTTTGGGGAAGGTCAGAAGAAACTTTAAGACTCATGCAGATTAGGCATTTTCATCCTTTCAGCTTGATGTGAGGAGATCGTGTAAAATAAGGTCAAAACAACCAAGCCTGCTTCATCTAACATTACTGGTCATACTTTGCTCATAGGAATTCATGGTGGTGTTGAGACAGAGGCCTTTTCAAAGCGTGGATGTGGTGTTCCGTTTGGGTTGTGGTGGAAACAACTTCCGTTTATTCTATTGCTTGTTTGTTTGACGGAGGGAGCAGAGTCTTACGTATGTATAGTCTGTCATCAAAGTCAGCAAGTTGATCATGATTAAGTTTGAAATGAAGTGAATTGTCATCTAAACTGTTATTGTGTGGAAATCATTCTCCTGTGTTACTGAAAATTTAAGTGACCAGTTGCCCCATCACTGTCAGTGTCATTCTGTTTAACCCTAACATCTGTGATAACACCAACCAGTAGCTGTTTGTTCTGGTCTGTAGCCACAGGATGCCTGTCTCTGGAAGGCCGTTGGAGACCGCCAACCCTTACTGCGCATTTCTGATGGGTGTTTTTAAACTCCATCACACGAGGAAGACTCTCCTAGGCCAACGCCTCTCAGTGGCTCTGCACAGCAGTGGTGGATGCTGACGCTGACTTTCAAACATGAGGAAAAGTGCTGGGTGCCGTGCCCGAGATGCCACAGCACTGTCCTGAAAACGAGAGGGATCAGCTCGGTCGCTGGACTCGCTGTCCCAGCCCTGAGCTCGTGAGCGTAAGCACGAGCGAAAATCAGGAAAGGAAACTTCCCTTTAATAGAGTTGTCCTTCCAAAGAGCTGGTGTCTGGGGTGGCCACCAGGAGTAAGAGAGTTCCCTACGCGGTTCTCAAAACAGCACAAAAACTGGGAGGAGGCACTGATCCTCAGAGAGGGTGAGGGCTGACTCCCCACAGGACACTCCTGTGGCCGTGTACAGCTCTGCTCCGGGAATGACATCAGTAACGAGAGCTGACGTTTATTGCCACCAGTTCAGTGTCAGCACCATTCTAAGCATGTGACGTGCACTTTTAACCCAACTCTACGCACCTTGCTCTGGGGCGTTCTTGTGGGTGCTCAAGAGTTAGGTCTGTTTTGTAGGTACAGCCTTTGCCTTCTTGAAAAAGACAAGAGTATGAATCATGCCACCCAGAAAAAAAGAGAAAGTCTCTTTAGAGACCACAGTATTCTTTTCTATTCCCGAATGTCGAAGGATTTGGCAGAGAGAAACCTCTAATACAAAAATGGCCCTTACCTCAAAACAAAAATGATCTCAGTGAGCTGGTAAGATCAGCAAAATGGGAATGGTTCAGATGCAATATACAAACAATTGATATCTCTGAAGATAACCCTTCTGAAATTTATTTCTAATAACCATTTTCCAAAGGAGCGATGGCTTGTATTGCACAGTCGGTTAGTGCTTGCCCAGATGTCTGAGGCCCAAGAGGTGGGGGGCGAGGATTAAGGCTCAGTAGACGATGACAAAGATTCCTTGTCCTATTTACCACAGCTAACATCTGCTCCACCCCAACAAGCTGGTATATGAGTCCAACGGGGAGTAAATATGAGAGCGGTTAAAACGAACTAGTGCACGTTAGTCTGGTTTGATTTATGTAAACAACTTCTGCGGGAGAAGATGGCTGTGCTTCAGGTAGTGTTCACATCTATGAAACCCAAGGAGCCTAAATATAACTGGATACGTATAGAACATTCTTGGCCATGTTCCTCTGCTCTAAACCATCTCAGGAAACGTCAGTTGAGTGACTGGAGTCAGCACGGGCTTACCCAGTGAAGGTCATAATCGGACGGCCTTGCTCTTCCGTCGTCCTCCTCGTAGGAAGCGAAGCCCTCCCTCCGAGCCTGGTAGTACTCCTTCCGCAACTTCTGGATGCGGTCAGCGCTTCCGCTGGCGGGACGGCCACTAAGGGACACAACCAAACCAGTCACACAGCGAACATTATGCCGGACACTCGCTTCTTGGTCTTCTTATTCAAGGAGCTGACCTCCAAATTTGGAAGATTCAATAATGTCATTCAAAGATGCTAGGAAAACTGTGAAATCAGTAATAAAAATGAACAAATAATGGTCCTTATGTGCACACCATTAGCTCCAGCGGTCAAAGCATCTGACTTGGGGCTAATAAACGCCATTTGAGTGAGAAGGTGAGATAAGGTCCTGGTCTCTTAGAGCAATTAAAGGAGCTACCACTTTTTCTTAGAGTGAGATCCGCAGAGTTTGGTTAAATTTTAATGTGGGTATCTCATTTTCTTAAGTAACTGTTGCCTATTTGAGACCAGTCGTTTGACTTGAATGTTGGATGGGACACAGAGTTGGCATGTGCCAGGGTTCACGTCAGTGACATTCATGAATTTTTGGAGTGGGGGCGGGGTATAGGTCAATATACGGGTACAGCCATGGCGTACGGAGAGAAAAGAAGGTGGAAGCCATGCCAAGAAGTAAAAAGAAAAAGAAAGAGCTGGTGGTAGTAGAATGTGGCACCTTGGTTAATGTCCAAGGTTCTCTTCTCTCTACTTCAGCCCCTTCTTCCTCTCAGGAACTACCGCTTCTCCAGCGACCCATCCTCCCAACCCCAAACTGGTCAGCCAGTGGCTGCCTCTTAGCTGGTACAGCCGTGTGCTGCATGACGTTCTGGTCAACAATGGACCACGTATGCGATGGTGGTCCCATAAACTTAGTCCCACATAGCCTAGGTTTGTAGCAGGCTGTACCGTCTAGGTTTGTGTAAGTGCACTCTATGATGTTCACACAACGACGAAATCTCCTAATGACGCATTTCTCAGAACGTGTCCCTGTCGTCACCATCATCTCAACAGAACCAACGCCATGTGAGACACCTCAGAGCCAAGAAACGAGGAGAACGACAGGCAGGTGTCCACAGCTGTGTGCCTTCCTTAGTGCCCCCGAGGCATAACCGATGCCCCATCGTGCCAGACGTTCAGCCAAGACCTGGGAAAGCAAACACAAACCGCTCACAGTGCTTGTCTGCGAAAAGCACACGGTCTGGAAGGTAGGCGACTGAAAGGGGTCAAAAGACTGCCACCCACTGTGACAGGTGTGACAGCAGAGGTCTGCATGGGGGTTGTGGGAACGCAAACTGCTTAAACTCTGACAGAGTGAGAGCAGACCACAGAAGAAGATCATGGGAGGCTCCCTAGAGGAGGTGACACTTTAGATGAGTCACGAAGGATGCTGGGCAAGTGAGATGGGGAAATTCCAGGGAGAGCGAGGGGAACTGCAAAGGCCCGAGATGAGAAAGCATCTTGCTCCAGGGAACGCAGGTCAGTCAGCTGGGGCAAGCAGTGGTCCTCGGCTCCTTTTGTCTTGCCCGCCACACACCTCAGGGGACATATCCCTCCCTCATTTAGGAAGCAGATTAGAATAAACGTGAGTGCTGGTGACTTTAGAGATGTTTTGAATTTACTCTAATAAATGACGAAAGTACATCACTTGCGAATGTCGGTACTTTAACTCAACTCCTGACATGTTATTAACCATAACGACGCTCCTGTCTCACGGGCACTGCTCTGTTGCACAGGGTACATGGGAGGGAGCAAGGAAGGGACGGGTGAGAAAGGCAGGTAGGGGCCCCTTGTGGAAAGCTTACCACGCCAAGCAGATGCCTGACTATTACAGCTGTGTGTCAAGTTTAAAGGAAGTATCTGATAAAATGAGATATCAGAGGGCAATGGAAAGAGGTCATCCACTATTTTTTAAAACGTTAAAAAATTATACTTGCAAACTATAAAAAGAAAATGAGGAGGAAACATCTTTTGGAGGGAAAGCATTCTTCCCAAAAGAGATTGCAGTTAATTGAAAGCAGGACCACGTGTCCATGTCTCAGATCCAGCTACAAAGTGAGCCCAGGCCCTGGGCCCCTGCATGCTCTGACGCCAAGGAGCTGACGCCTTTGATCAAGAAAAGACAAACCTGTATGGTTCACATACCTTTACTTTTCTTCAATGTGTATTTAAGAACTCTCAAAATAGTCTCTCTTTCTTTACTATACTTCTTTTAAAAATAAAAGTTTATCTCCAGCACTTGAAAAAGATTACAATAAGAAAGAAAAGGAAGGCCTGAGATGCTTTTCTGAACAACGAGAAGTGGGGAAAAAGCACAGCTCGGTTCTGAGCAGCTGCCTTGCTCCCGAGTGCTCTGAGCTGACCATGGTTCTTGCATCCAGCAGGCGGGCCTCTGCCGACTACGTGAGCGCATGAGCAGCTCAAACTCACCAGATGAGTTCAATCAATGCAGTGCAAACATCGCATACATAATCTATTAGTTTATCCGAAGAAACTGAAGCACTGAATTCAAGCAGAATGAAGTCATCGGTAATAAAGAAAAAAAAAACCTGATAAGGCACTGTTTTAAAAAAAAGCCCACAATTTTCCTACATTTGTGGTTGGAAAAAAAAATCATACTCAGACTGTAAACTATTCTTCCATATGCCTATAAATACATAAATTCAAAAATATGGGTTTGATCAGATTTCAGTTCTCAAATAGAGGGAATGGGGCAAGAATACAAAATCAGCTGTTTAGGATTCAGAAAATCCCTATGGCTGACAGGGACTATTTACCCAGAAAAGAAATCTGGCCTCAGAGAAAAAACAGGAAAAAACTCCAGAAAGTCATGGATCATCTAAGTGCAAACACGCTGCATCTTCCCCCTCCTGTGAATATTGTAAAGAAGACATGGGACACCACGCAAACCTTCCATGACAACCCCACACCACCTCTCAACATTGCCTCTTCTTTTTTTCTCTCTAATCTCATTCTACTTTCAGTACCTATATCAGATTTTTTCCCAAGTGGGTGTTTTATATAATAAAATTAGGAATAGAAAATTCTGTTTTCATTTGTCAGCTCTTCTCTGCAGATAATACACATGAGTTTACCATCAAATCAATAAAAATGATAAACACAGCTATTGTAAACAAAGCAGTTAATTGACTCCATTTTGTGTTGAAGGTGTAGAAATTTGAAGAGGAACATAAAAATACCTTCGTCAAAATAGCAGCAGTACTCGTAATGGTTACAATTTATAGAACCCTTACATAGTAAATATATCGATACAGACTTTTACTTAGTCCACTTTCTGCCCAGAGCAGACATCACTAATCAATTTCAGCGTTCTTCCCCAGCAATCCTAGACATGGCCTGAGAATCCTTCTCAACGGAGAACTTCATAAAGCCACTGCTCATCCACAGGAGCTGGCACTTAAGTTTATTTTTAATTCCTGTGTAGCAGGTGCTATAAACATCTCAAAACATCAAATGAATATTGAATGATCGGTTTATCGTTCTGCTCAATAGAGATGAGGAGTCTCGGGCTCACCACTAGGAGATGAGAGAGAAGGTCTGTCTGACTTCAGAGACTACTCTCTCCCCCGTCGCGTACTACCTTCCAACCCGCGTCTCCTCCTTCATCTGATTTATATCTTAGACACTGGGTCCTCTAGCAACCTATTGGGCCAGAATGAAAGCTAACACTAGCCTTTAGGACAGACCTTCCGAGGACTCCTGTTTTCCTTCCTCAATTTACATGTTATCTTTTCCATTTTTCTGGCTTTACAGAATTTGGCAGCAGAGATTCTAAGGAATCTCTTGCCTGATACCTTCAGAAGTGACATCGGATTATGAAGTAACTGAAATACTCTTGCAACCATATAAGATCAGGCAAAGCATCAATAACCCATCTCCAAGTTGCTAGTTAGAAAAAGAGGCTTTCTGTATTATTCATTCTCTGCATAAAGTAAAGGTTAACCGTTCTTACAAAAAAAGTTCCTATTATATACTGCTGTATCCACATGCAGGTGGTTAACGCCACTCCCACACTTTCAATGTGCTGAAATTTTATCTTAAATTAATTCAAGCAGTGTAACAAAACAGATTTATACTGTAGCGATTTCTTGTAAATTATACTGCCTACGTCTTTAAGGCAGATGCATAGTCGAGCAGGCTCTTCTTACATTTCAGAGCTGGGCAGAGTTTAAAGCTGTGGTGGAGTTCAGGAACCATGTCATTTTCTTCATAGCCACCTGTAGTAATACCTTCCCAGATGCAATAAAGATCACAGGAAGGCATTATCTGCTCCTCTGGAATCTAACCTTATCCTTCCTAGTTCATAATTACCTCACTTGAAGTACATTTTAGACTGAGTATTCATTTGTGCCTGCCATTGTCTCCTCCCACGACTACAGCAGGTTGGAGAAAGGAAACTCACATTGATTAAGCTCCTCTGATGCCCTAAGTATAATACTCACGTAATCCTCAATCAAATTTGTGAGGTTGACATTGTTATTGACATTTCACAGACGAGTCTACTGAGGCTCAGAAAGTTAAGTAGCCCAAGCAGTGAATGGTGGACCAGGAGTTGACTGGAGTGACTTCAAACCTGTGTTACTTCTATCACATTGTGCTGCCTTGAGAGAAAGGCAGTAACGGGCAGCAGCCCCTTTGCAGCAGCAGCACTGGCATTTCCAGGGAGAGGGAATCTACCAGAGCACACTTACAGCCCTACCTTTGATATTCTTTTATTTGCACAGATCTTTGCAATAAAAATAGAAGTAGCCAAAGCAATAGAAATACATGCAATGAAGTCTATATCCATTAAAGAATGATGCTGGAGCAATTGCAGACTGAGATTTCTGGGTAATTAATATTACATCTCTAACAGGCTTATGTGGGAAACTGGTATAAAACTGAATGGGGTGCAAAAGAGAATCAACATATGACAGAGATCCCACATGAAAGAGAAAGAAACTCTGCATCAGGCGCAGACGGCAGCACGGGCTGCTCCTGGTGAAGTTCCTCACCGACTGCCTGAGAGGGAGCTGGTCCCTGCGGACGAGCCATTGCTGGATTTGCGAATTAATCTGCGCTGACCTTGTGTGTGTGCCTA